CTCTCTGCCTCTCCCCTTGTCGCCGCCGCCGCCGCCGTTCCCTCAACCTTTGTGCGGTCCCACGCCAGCAGGGAGGGCGCGCCTTGCCTCCTTCCACACACGGACGAAGGACGCAATCGAGTCTGAGCAATACACACATACACGCGCGCACCTTGGCCTTTCCCGGCCAGGACGACACGCACACACACACACACACACACAAAAGGAAGAACAGGCACAAGAGCCACAGGCAAGGAAAAGCCAAACCAAAAAAAACAAAAGAGAAAACACAAAAGAGAGAACGGAAAACAACAAAAAAAAATACACACATACACACACAGTTGCGCCGCGCTATATTGTATAGGCTCCCCTCTGGGTCAGGTGTATAGCGAGGGTCGGTATAGCCTTTCCTTTTCATATTGTGGTGCATTTTTTGTTCTTTCCACTCTGTCTTCTTTGCTCACGCGTTGCCTGACTTCTGCAGTCGCCGCACACGATGCCATCGCAGGTGAACATCGTCGTCCGCACGAGGCCCACGGACTTTGTCGCGGACTCCTTCCAGGTCGCGTCGACTAACACGCTCCGCTTCATGCGGACCCCACCCACGTCATCACCAACGGCAGAGGCAATGGGGGCGGCGCACGCAAGGCCCGGTGCCAACACGGGAGGCGCAGAGGAGCCGCTGACATTCACCGCTGACGCCGTGCTGCACAACACGTCGCAGGAGACAGTGTACAACATGACCACCTCGGATTTGGTGGAGGTGGCGCTGCAAGGCATCAACTGCACACTCCTCTGCTACGGGCAGAGCGGATCGGGCAAGTCGTACACGCTGTTCGGCGGTGACACCTTCCCCACGCGCGGCTGCGTCCCACGCGCCATTCAGTCGCTCTTCGACTCGATACGGATGTCGTCAGAGCGCGAGACGAAGGTAAGCCTCACGTTCGTGGAGGTGTATGGTGAGCAGGTCTACGATCTGCTGGGGAAGGGACCGTCCGCTGCTGTTGCCCTCGCCGCCGCCGCGAAGGCCGATGGCAGGAGCGGGAACGCCAACAAGGCGTGTGTCACGATTGACAGCAATGGCGCGGTATTGCTGCGTGGTGTGGAGGAGCGGCGGTGCGCGACGGAGGCAGAGGCACTGACGACTCTCTTTGAGGGGCTGCAGCGGCGGCTGAGCGGCGCCAACGCGCTCAACCCACAAAGCTCGCGCTCACACGTCGTACTGACATTCTATCTGGAGAGCAAGAGCCTGCTCGACAGTGACGCGCTGACGCACCACTCACGGCTTAACTTCGTCGACCTGGCGGGAAGTGAGCGTCCGCACGCACACGCCGATGAGGCGGCACAGCAGGAGAACAAAATGATCAACCGCTCACTCATGATGCTGGAGCAGGTGATCCTCGCGCTCGCTGGCCACCGTCCCCGCCACGTGCCGTACCGCCAGAGCAAGCTCACGATGCTGCTTAAGGACTCCATCGGTGGCAACAGCAGGACGACGCTCATAGCAAATGTATGGCCAGAGCAGCGGCACATGGATGCGTCCTTGGCGACGCTGAACTTCGCGAAGCGTATGGTTCGTGTCGAATCAAACCCCTCAGTGCACGCCACGATGGACCCGCAGGCGCACATTAAGATGCTTCAGAAGCAAGTCTCCAGCCTGAAGTCGGAGCTGCGCATGCAGGACCAACTTGCTGGCCGCGAGGCAATCGCCACTGCACCGCTTGAAAGTGACGAGATTCAGACCGCACGGGAGAGAGTGATAGCCTTCGTCGATGGAACTGCCGCGCAGGTACGTGTTACATGTGTGCGGGAGATGCACGCCTGCTTCCTCGCCTTCAGAACGATCCTTGAGGAGCAGGACGCTCAAATGAAGGAGATGGAGCGGCTACTGGCGGCGACATCGCGCCCCGGCAGCGCGTCCAGTACGAAGGGCTCATCAAAGCGTAAGTGCAGCTCGAGGCACCAGGCCGCGTCGGAACCGAGGGAGCAGGTTAGGTTCATCAGCAGCGTTCCTGACGCGAACACTGGCGTCGGCGTGGGCACGACCGAGAAGCCAAGCCCTGGGCTCCGAGAGATGTTTCAGCAGCAGCAACAGCAGTCACGCGGTACCGCCAACAGCCTCGGGTACGCCCCAAACGGTGCGGGGGTGGGGAAGGGAGCTAACGAATACGCCTCCGCTCTTGCATCACCAGCTGAAGCATCAGCAACGTCAGGAAAGCCACCACCACCACCAGTTCCGGCGCTGACAATGATACCAGAGGAAGACCCGTCCAAGACGCGGTCCCGCTTGCGGCGCCCGTCCTCATGTCCGGTGGAGGACAAGCATGAAGCCATCTTGCCACCTACCGATCGTTTTGTTGCTACAATGGCGTTGACGTCGTTAAATGCACCGGGACGACAGGAAGGTGTCGTTCGCGACCGGCGCGCGGCGTTCGAGGCATATAAACGAACGCCCACGGGTAACTGTCAGATGGTGGCCATTAATAATGCACAAAAGCTTCTTTCCGAAAAGAATGATACCGTAATACAGCTGCAGAGGCGATTGAAAGAGATTAACGCAGATATTGAGGCATGTAAGAGGTCGGAAGGGCCCACCGCGACGCTGGAGGAGCGTGTGGCGGCGCGTTGCACGCCGATTGAGATGCATCGATCTTCAGTGGTATTCTCTGAGAGTTATGCCAGCTTTAATGAGAACAATATGACATCAGGCGAAGGCTCGCCGACAATTCACGCCGGGGATCTATCCAGCATGACAGTCCCAGACAAGAAGGCATTGCTGCACCACACGAAGTCTGCCGTGACGAGGGCCATAACGGAGCGGGGCATCTGCGCCAAGCAGCTCAACCGCCACCGCGAGGCGTTAATGAGCAATTTCCAGTACTGGTACCACTCCAACCTGCAGCCGTCGCTGGCGCCGCAGGGGGAGAAGGTGGTAACGCCTGCTGCTGCTGCTGCTGCTGCTGCTGCTGCCGCGGACGGAAAAGTGTTGCCTACGCTGAGGGCCGCCGGGCTCCATTCACCCGGTCATCCACGGGTAAAAATAGCGGCGGAGGGAGACACACGCTTCATGGACGGCGGAGAGCGATTCGAGGCATCGGAGATGCAGCGTTTGCTTCAGAAGGACCCAGAGGGCGTGACATTCTACGCGGCGCAGAGGCTTGTGCGTAGTGGACTTGCTTTGCATGAGTGATGTAGGAGAGAGACGAAGTAGAATGCGATATATATAGAGAGAGAGAGAAAGAGAGAGAGAAAGATATGAAGAAAGGCAACGGAGTTGTCTTTGTTCCACCCATTTGGATGTACAGATGTACCCGACAATTTCCACTATTCTCACCCTGAAAAGAGTTGCTGGGAGGGAATTAAGGAGGGAAAAGGCGTGTGAGATGAGCGTTTCTACGCGGCCTGTTTCCATTGTTTTTTTTCGTTGTGTGTGAGCCTCCCCCCCCTTCCTGCCTGCGCGTTTTCTTGCATGCGTACTGGTGTGCTTGTGTGTATGCGCTCTGCGCAGATGTTATGTGCACAGCGGCAGGTGGTTGCTGCTTCGCTTCACGCTTTGCCGTGCTGCCCTTGTCAGAGTTCTTCATTCCTCCCGAAGTGTGGTACAGCGATAGAATTGTCTGAGTGTGCGTGCGTGTCTGTGCGACTTTGGCGAGAAGAGGCCGCTGGGAAGCCATCGAAGCGAGTGGCAGCGGCGACAACGACGCACCGAGGGAAGGAGCCCACGCAAGCGAAACCACAGGAACAGGCGGAATGAACGTCACGCCGGCGCTCGCGAAGGAGATCGTCCGGCGGTACCGGAAGCGCACCGGCGGTGCCCCGACGTCGACCGTCACGGCGGAGTTGGCCGCTTTCGCGGTGCGGCTCTCGCTGCTGGACTCGCCGAAGGTGGACGAGAGGGGCAACGTCGCGGAGACCCCGGAGGCGATCGAGGAGATGGCGGAGGAGATCGCCAAGTACTTCACCACGTGCTCGACGCACGTGATGGCGACGCTCTCCCTGCAGTGCCAGACGGCGGGGCTGCGCGCGAGCTTCATAAACAAAAGCCGTAACGAGCAGGTGAAACAGGAGGCCGTCACACTGCGACTGCTCAGCTCTCTGTGCGAGAACTCAGTGCGGCTGCCAGAGGAGATGCTGAGCGAGATCACATTCTTCATCCTGCACCGCTACCGGCAGCTGCGCGGCGGCGGCGACGGCAACGTGGCAGCACGGAAGGAGACTGTCTCCGTGCTCAACGCCGTGCTGCCGCGGGCGCAGGTGCGTGCCTTCGCCAACCAATCGGCGGAGGAAAAGAAGCGGCAGTTGGAGGAGCTTCGCCGCATTGTGTGGGGAATACGGCTGTACAACAAGGCAGAGGGGCGTAGCGCTGGCCCCGGCCTCGTGGTGCTCCGCGAGGTGGCAGAGTCGTCGCTGTCGGCGCTCGACAAGCGCATCGAACAGGAGCTGCAGACCGCCGCCGCCTCTTGTGCGGACTACGTGGCGTTTCTGCGCTCGCCATCGGCGCCGCTCGGCAGCCCGGAGCGGCAGACGCTGCGAGAGGAGTACCACCGACAACTGCAGGTGCTACTCAACCTGCGCCTCGCGCGACAGCGGCTGCAGGAGCTTGGCGGGCGTCTGCACGGTGAGCTGCTCCCCGCATATGACGCCTCGCTGGCAGACCTCAAGGCGGTGCTCGGCAACACGGCAATGCGCTCCGACGGGGTCACGCTCCGCAGCAGTGTGCCGAAGCGGGCGGTGTACCCAAAGTTCATCGCCCTCGCCGACGTCTACGACGAGGCAGAGCGCAGCTTCGACGGCTTCGACGAAGTGCGAGCGCTGCTCGATTTGTCGCTGTCGCTCGGCACCGTGTCGGCGCCGTCGCTGCCGCCGACGCTTCTTGAAGAGACCGTCGCCGTCCAGAAGGATGACGCGCCGGCCGACCACGACGCCACCGCAGCGCACATCGCCGCACTCGGCGCTGACGCATCGCTGACGTATGTCACGGACGCCTCGGCGCTGCGGCA